TCTTGTCAGGCTCGAGCACTTGCGCAGAGTAACCAGTCTATCGGTATGGTATAGGATGCATTTTGAGGAATGTGCGCAGGAATCACATGCTTTGGTTCCTCCCTCCCCATTAATGTCCCCTGTAATTAGGCATCATTGGGGGTTCACCAGGAGTGAATCAAAAACGAAACTAAAAAAGTTGAGTTTGAATATTTTTTTTATAGAAATAGAGGCAAAGTCCTTAATAGGGTGACCCACCATGGGTTGTACTTTTTAGCTTACATTATTATTATTAAAAGTAATATCTAGAATTTCGAACTTGGTTTCATGTGAGTAAATTGACATAAGGAGGATAAATAATTCTTTTACTTATTAAATACATATTATACATATGATATAATACACAAAAATTGGGCTGGTTAACATTTGGCGAAACGACTGGCGTGTGGTGCGGTGAGTTATTTACTTTTTTCTTTAATAACAAAGCTTGCAATATTGCTTTTTTAGGATTAGATTTTGATTTAAATTTCTAACATATTTTCATTTTTAACTAACATAGGTGATGACTATGAATACACCGGTGGCTCTGGAGATGGGTATCAGCGGTCATCGAAGCGAAGCTATCACGCATCGTCGTCAAGTGGCACCGCATCGGCACCTTCATACCATCCATATCGGCGTTAACGAGTGACACAGAGTAAACTCCTTTTTTCTATACCTCCCTGGTACTTTTGACGCGTTTCCTAGCGGTTCTGTGCTTTTCTTGTGAGTGCTAATAATATTTATTGCTTAAAAGCCGAATATTTTTATATTTTTGATAAGAATGGTAAATAGTATTGGCAACCACAGACTGCAAAATAATTTCTAAAGAACCGACATATCAAATATTTGTATGATAGTTTTTGTACTCACGCAATCATTGAGTTTGTAAATGGTTTTTACTGGGCGGCGGTCTTATGAGAAGTCTGAAGTTGACTGGCATTTGTCGAAATAAAATAATACTTGACTTGACGTAAAATGATGGAACATATATGGCTTCTTATAATCTCGTTCCCGGATTTAAGTTAATACAGGTTTTTCTTTTAGATATATTTGTCGTGTTTTCGGACTGTTGAGCGTCCCAAAAGCTTTGGGAACTAAAATTAATAGTTGTAACGAACTTTTCCAATAGACTAACGGATACATTTATTTTTTATATCTTCATCCAGTTTACACAATGTTGATTAAGTATTTTAAAGCTACCTACTCGATTTAATTTAGAATGTAAGATTCTTACGATATGCTATTTTTTCTCTAAAAATTTAGGTGTGAATGATGTCCTGATGTACTTTTGTACAACAATTTTTGCTCTTGCAGTTTAGGAATGTTCGTTAATCGTTATATGAATATTTTAATGACAATATAAAACACTTAACTATATCAACAACTAAAAAACAAGCGCGGGTGCATTCACAATTTTTTTTTAATTTTATCTTAAAAATATGGCTGTGTAATAGAAATCCCAGGAGATTTCTATAAAATGTTTAGAAATGAATGGATTTCTAAAAAATGCTTCTAAAATATTAGACATAATATAATAATATATTATAGGTACCTATTTTGTTTTCGCATTTACTTGAAAATGTTTAAAGATCTAATTATTATAACACACGAAATTTAAACATGTAATTACCAAATAAAATTTAGTTATATCTGTATTTCAGCACTAAAAACACTCACGTCATAAAAATCACTAAGTATCTTAACGCACCCGTGTTTGTAAATATGTAAAAACCAACTAGGATGTCATTTTCAAGCAAATAGTCAACCAAATCTTTATTTCGCATGTTATGTTTTATAAGCAAAAATTTTAATTATAGTTTTTAGACGAAATGTCTCCAGAGATCATGTCAAACTAAAATTAACGTACGTTATAAGTACGTATATTCAAAAGATTTGCATTTATGACAAAATTAAGTAAAATTTTGGTAAATTACATTCGGTGTATGTATGCCTGATGAATGAGTAATTTTAAGTATTCGTTCCATTTCAGTTTCATTTGAACATACCTAATATTAATATGTTGATTACGTATTCAACTGGAAATTCCGGTTAATAATGGTTGCATTCCCGCCAAATATATTACATACAATCTATAAAAATAGTAAGTAGGTGTCCGAATATTTTTATTCCATATTGGTTTCACAAAACGTGTTCTTTCCACCGAGCTGATAAATCTCTAGTTATATATACAATTTTGCGATATGCAGCCATTTTTCTTTGTTCTCACTTGACATGTGGTTTTTGTTTACTTAAATAAATGTACTAATAAATTTAAGTTTTATTTAAATTTAAGTGTATGTTCCCGCCTTGTACCCTTACTACAATATTTATCTAGTCTTACGAATTATAACAATATTAATTCTAATTTAGTCAAAGTTTTTGTGTATTTTTTAAATAATTTTACAAATTTTTTAAGAATTTTTCAATTTCACTCGTGATAAGAGACATAGGTTTACCTCGTTATGTTTTAATTTTATGAATTAAAGTTTGGGTAAGTACAAATGAAATTACTGAAATCAAGATGTAATAAATGTAATTAAAAATTAGAAATGATAGTAGTAACTTTATAAAATAGAATGAAAGTACCATAAAATACCTAGTTATTAAATTTAAACTGTTGACGAACCAAGCTAAATATAGAGAACACATCAGAACTTATTCTTAATACATTTATTATTTAACGTTAATATTATGTAGCTTTTAAAAATAAGAAATTAAATTTATAGGGCAAGGATAAAGCTAACCAGTTAGTATTAATCTAGTGATTAATTTAAATACAATGTTTTCTCGGATAAGAAATAGTTTTTATGAAAAATTCGCATGTAGCAATGATTGGTCTAAATAAATTGTGTAAAGTTTTATTTTTACATTATTTCTAATTATTAAAGCTTAGTTAAACAATTAAGATTAGTTTTATAAAATTTTATATCAATGGACAGACAAATCGAATTTGACTTACTTACCTACACTACATATTCTTATCTAAAATTTAATTTGACTATACATAACGATTAGTAGTACCTTTAAAATGTCAAAGCAGTTTCAGATTACAAACATCAAAGTTACAATGTGCTTTTCTGTAGGTATGTGTGTATTAAAAAGGGAAATCATCGAATAGCTAGCAAAGAGGATGGAGTACAAAAAAGACTAAGTCGATAATGCACTAGAATAAAAGCAAGACCTACAAACCTCTAGTAGATTCATTATTATGCAAGAAATTAAAAATTAAGAAAACATTGGCAAATTACTATTGGCGTTTGTCTACAAACAAGAATTTGCTGACCTCTGAGATAGATAGAGGTGTTTATATTATGCCAGATATGTATCTAAACAGGTAATATAGCGAGCAGCGTTAGAGGTGTCCCTTATGCCCGGTACTGTGATGCCTGTGGCAGTTATGCCGCGGCCACTCATCGCGCTAGGCCGAATATTCGCGTTATTGCAATGTATGGTATGTGGCCGGCCCTTCGTGAACACATCATCACTTCGTGCGAAGTTTCAAGCATATCTTAATAATGAATCCTAAATTCTAGCACTTCAAAGGGTTTTATCACACAGAAATCGTGCGTAGCGGATGTGTAAACTAGGGTTTGCGACGTAATTCCGACATATTGAAACAATTTTAGAATTTATAAGTAATTACGAGTCCAAGCCGATATTATTTATATATTTTTCTTATTTTTTAAATATTGACACAAAAAATAATTAGAGTGACCTTGGCGTCCAGTTTGTTTTTAGCGTGTGTTTAGCGCGATAAAATTTACAATGCGCAGTGTGGCCAGGCCACCTTCGCGCTAGGCTGAAGGCGAAGTTTTATCGCGATGTTTGTGGCTGAGTCTTACAGTGGGATAGATCGGCGGTATACTGTTATTGGCCAATAAGAAAACTGCGCGGGGCCCGAGGCGCCCAATCATGTCGTTTGAGGATCAAGACGGGTTTACAGATACCTTTTGCACCTAGACGCGGCTCACATGTCAACAGGTTAAATATTTCAAAATGATTGTCAGGAATTCATAAGACGTTCCTAGCATTTTCCTTACAATTACAATACTTACACGTGGTTCATTTAATATGCCACTGTCGCTCACAATACGTAATTAGGTACTTTGTTGCTTCATTAATGTTTGTGTCCGAGTTAATGATAACCAAATTATATTAACGTCCCTTATAGGGCTTATTTTTATTTTCACTAATAAGTACAATATACAAGAACCTTTGGCAAATAAATAGGATATTAATGTACCTACTAAAGGCATGATTTACAAATATACTTTGGAAAGAGAAAGTAAGATTTGTAGACGAAACCTGTACGATATTCCGTAATAACAAAAAATTATAATTAGGTATTCTAATTTTTTTTGGTCAAGGATTAACATTATTAGTCAATTAGGTACAGGAATTCTTTCTGCATCATGTATAATCTTGGACTAATAATAACACATACATACCAATTTTGTTAAACGGTAAGTAGAACGTTTAAGATAGTGTCGGTACACCCGGAGGCGCACTTATTATTTTGCTTATTTTGTCAGTTTTTAGTGTTTATTAAATAAATGTTATTCTATTCTAAGAATAAAACAGAATGCTATTATGGTTATTGTAATAAAATACGAATATATGATAAAAACAAGTTAGGTAGCAAAGAACCTTTTACTACGGCGATTCCTTTCAAAATGCCAAATTCTCCTTCGGGTGTACGCCTCACGCGGCGACCTTTGATGTCGCAGCGGTGCCTTTGACAAAATGCGGCGCGACACAAAGGCAACCGTATCTAAGCGAACATACTATACAAACAAAAACTATACCTACCTACGATTTCATCACTCGCAACAATCCAATTAACATAAATGTCAACACTGGTAAATGTTTTTTGCAAACGTAGAATAAAAGTTAAACAAGCATTTTGTTTAATTTTGCTTTTGAAATTATAAAATTCCTTCGTAGACTGGAAGTGCTGGCCGCCATGGTTGTACTTTATTTCAGGGCTCATTACAAGAATTTCGTCGCGAGGTACAGTTGACGCAGTCACATGGATGCGGCGGCATTTCATCTGGAAGATGCGCCTGCGATGCTCTGTAGCACAGCTCCCTGTAGCGAGCGCAGCCTGAAAGTTCACGTGTGCACTCTTTAAAACATTGATTAAAATATTTACTTATTAACCGTGTAGTGGTGGTGTAAGTATATCCACTACACTATATCGTACCGTGCGTGTCGTAAGAGGCGGCTGAGGAAACTTAAACAGGATAAGGGCAGCAGCATATTTCTGAAACAACTCAAAATATTAAAAAAACTGCGGTTGCCAAGCGTGGCGCCTATGTCAAAATCCCCCTATAAGAATAAGCCCTTTAGTAGTAGACTTGATGGCTGTACCGGAAATATATATATATATTATTTTACTCACAGCAATATACTATATTTAAGTACCTAAACGAAACAAATTGTTGATTTGTCTTTCGATTAAATAATATTTTTATGATGGGGAAACAACCTAACGTGATTGACCAACGTTGTAAATACTATTATAAGTAGGTACGTTAATGAGTCGCTGACCAGACAAGAAAGATCACATTCTCACAGGAGGCATACAAATGCGTTAGTGAATTAATTTTGTGTCTAAGACGTGTAGCTGGATTAATGGCTCGACATTTTATTTAACAAACTTAGAACTCAGAACTATGGTCAAGCCAAAGAGTATAAGTAAGCCAGGCCAAAGACAATAAAAAAAAATTAAAATATTGAATTATTCGTATGAAGGTCAAGTGAGCGCTAGAGTAAAGACGATTTGTCGATAAATTAAATGTTTTGAGAACTTATCCATTACCGTGAAGTCGCGGTGTATGAATATTCATATCATTCCGTGGGTTACGTAAGAGGCGACTGATCCACTGTTCCACGGTACACATACCTTGTTACACAGCAAATTCTCTTAATTGAGAGAAGCGTAATTTAGTAACGAAACTAATTCTAATAAAATTTTAGTTGTATAATTCTTATAAATAACATTTAAAAAAGAATTGTTCAGAACACTTAATTACTATGGTTCTGACTAAACGTAGTGATTATATACTATTTGGTTCTGAGGGGTCCTTTCTAAATATTACCATACTCTTTGTAGCGTTCCGCAAAGGTAACCTTGGATTATCTCATGTATCATATGTAAGTTCAGAACTTGACAGCTTAAGAGAATCCATCTCTTATCTTGTCTCCCGCGTGTCGTAAGAGGCGACTAAAGAAAATGAAGATGATCCCGAGGCGTCCGATACAATAATATTCGGTAAAACCATCTTTTCAGGAACCGGATTTAAAATATTAATGCTTGCTGCTAAAATGTATATTGTTTAGTACTGCAGTGGCCAGCCAATTTGTTAGTATCAGGTGTGGGGCGATTACAGCGTAGATGTCGAGGCCTCTGTCCTGTATTATATTATATTATTATCTACTACTTTTTTGTCAATGATATGCGAAGACAGGTCTACTTATATTATATTCTTCAAACTACGAAAATATAGCTACCTGTCGGCGGAAGAGCTAGCCGAGTATCTGCTGCAAAACCCCGCTGCGCGAGTCGATCCAGGAGCGTCGAGGCTGACCATCACCGTTCGCCGCATTCTGCAATTTTATAACAAAGTTGACCTAAGTTATATAGATACTAGTACACTTCTTTCCCCGTGTAGTGGCGGGTAAGAATACTCACTACTCCATATCTTCCCGTGGGTGTCGTAAGAGGCGACAGAGGGAAACTGAAGCAGAGGATGGGCAGCAGCATCTTTCTGGTAACAGCAAAACAAGGATAAAAAGACTGCGGTTGCCAACCCGCTCGCCAAGCGTGGCAACTATGGCACTATAACCCCCATGAGCAATGCCATTAATAAACGGCCCCCAGTCCCCGGCGGCCCCGCTATTCGTGGCTACGGTGGCGACCATGGTAACGGCGGGGCAGGGAGTGCTAAGAATCTCTGGTGGAGGTTCGGTTGCCACCTACGATGACTCGACCTGGCAACTTATAACGCACGCACCCTGATGACTGACGAGAAGATCCTAGAGCTGGAAGAAGAGATAGACAAGTTGCGCTGGAATATCATAGGATTATCCGAGGTCCGAAGAGCGGGGAAGGACACGATAACCCACGAATTCGGCAACTTGTTCTATCACCGGGAGGGCGACCATCTGTCCCAAGGAGGTGTCGGATTTATCGTCCACAAGTCTCTCGTTAACAACGTTGTAAAGATTGGGAGTGTGTCGACGAGGGTTGCGTACCTTATACTCAGAATCACCAAACAGTATTCGCTGAAAGACATACAGGCTTACACGCCAACCTTGGCACACCCCGATGAGGAGGTGGAGGAAATGTATGAGGATATCTCTAGAGCCATGCATTCCTCCAAAACCCACTATACGGTGTTAATGGGAGAATTCAACGCAAAACTAGGCACAAGAGAGAACGGTAAGCTGAAAGTAGGGAAATTCGGAACAGGGCAACGGAACCGAAGGGGCCAGCAGTTGGCCGACTTCATGGAGAAAGAGGGACTCTTTATGATGTACCCTTTCTTCCAGAAGCGGCCCCAAAGGAAGGTGACCTGGTCGAGCCCCGACGGTTCGACAAAAAATGAGATTGACTTCATTATGACGACCAGACTCAGTGATCGCGAGGGTGAAAATCGGCAGCATCACCGAATGGTGACAAGCACACTGAACTTAAACGTTAAGTTGGAGAGGACACGTCTAATGAAGTCAACGCTCCGTCTCCCTCGTGCTCTACTTCAAAGTCCCGAAACCTTTCGGCTCGAGCTACAAAACCGTTTTCAGTGCCTAGAAGATTGCAATGCAGTGGACGATATGAATGACAAGAGCGTGGAAACAGTCCATGCGGTCGGAGCTAAGTTCTGCAAGGCCCGCTGCAGAAGAACACAAAAACTCCGATCACACTCTTAATCTCATGGCTGTTAGACGGGATATGAAGCTGCAGTCTTCAGTAGATTTGACAGCATACAGGCAACTGAACAGTCAGATCTCCAAATGCATGCGGCGGGACCTAAGCGACTTTAATACCGCTCGTATTGAAGAAGCGATCGAGCGGAACCAGGGCTCCAAAGTCTTTGCTAGAGATCTGTCTGCCAGAAAGAGCCCAATGTCGAAGCTGAAGACTGAGTGTGGCAGCGTCGTTTCCGGGACACCTGAGATTTTGAGTGAGATTGAGAGGTTCTATGGGCAGCTGTATACATCATCGTTGGAGCCACACGTAAGTATGAGTAACGATCCAGGAGCGAGTCTTATCGGACACCGTTCCGATGATATTCCGGACATCAGTCTGAGCGAGATTAGAATGGCTCTCCAGCACCTTAAAAACAGCAAGGCCCTAAGCGAGGATGGAATTACATCGGAGTTTCTGAAAGCAGGTGGAAAACCGGTACTTGAAGTCTTTCAGAAGCTCTTTAATTCCGACCTCCATGGTGGCATTACACTGGAGGCGTGGAGCAGAAGTGCGGCGGTCTTGTTCTTCAAGAAATGTGACAATTAGGTCAAAATCGGTCTGTAGTTCTTCAATAGAGCGCTATTGAAGAACTACAAACCGATTTCCCTTCTGAGCCGCGTCTACGTTCTGTTTTCGAGAGTCATTACGAATCGTCTCACGCGCAGACTTGACAACTTCCAGCCTCCCGAACAAGCCGGTTTCCGAAAAGGCACCTTAGACCACATACATACATTACCCTTCAGCAAATTGTACAGAAGTCCGAGGAGTACAATTTGCCACTATGTCTGGCGTATGTGGACTATGAGAAAGCCTTTGATTCCGTCGAAATTTGGGCGGTGCTGCAGTCCCTTCAGCGGTGCCAAGTTGACTGTTGGTATATCGAAGTGCTGAAGTGTTTGTACAGTAGGGCTACGATGGCTATCCGAGTACAGAACCAGAGTACGAAACCTATCCAATTGCAGAGATGTGTAAGACAGGGTGATGTTATATCCCCGAAACTCTTCATCGCTGCATTGGAAAATGTTTTCAAGCTTCTAGACTGTAAAGGATACGGTATTAACTTCAAGGGCGAGTACATCACTCACCTTCGATTTACCGAAGATGTAGTCCTTATGGCAGAATCGCATGTCACACCTATGTCGGTAGTTGTATGGAGCACTAAGCTTGTAGTTGTTGACGAGTATGTTTTTCTGGGACAAATAGTCTGACTATTACCTAGTCCAACTTCGACCGAGAGGTCAATCGACGGATTCTATTCTCGGTTGGGCAGCGTTCGGGACATTACGGCACATCTTCTCGTCAGGTATACCTCAAAACTTGAAAACGAGACTGTACAACCAGTGCGTGTTGCCAGTAATGACCTATGGAACTGAGACGTGGTCCTTCACTGCTGGCCGGATGAGGAAGCTCAAGGTTGCTCAGCGAGCTATGGAGAGGGCTATGCTCGGAGTTTCTCTGCGTGGTAAACTTAGAAATGAGGATATCCGCAGTAGAACCAGAGTGATTGACATAGCCCAACGGATTAGTAAGCTGAAGTGGCAATGGGCCGGCCATATAGCTCGAAGAACCGACAACCGATGGGGAAAAAAGGTTCTCGAGTGGCGGACGAAGTGTAGGGCTTCCCCCAACTAGATGGAGTGACGACCTGGTAAGATATGCAGGAAGTCGATGGATGCAGGTGGCTCAGGACCGTGCTTTGTGACATTCCTTGGGGGAGGCCTATGTTCAGCAGTGGACTTGTGAAGGGCTGTAATGATGATGATGATGACATTTCTTTACAGAGCCGTGGTAGCTGAGGTGGTTGGCGCTCGCGGTAAATTTCACAGTACGCGAGCGACCCGGGCTCGATCCCCGCCGGCACCAATGAAATTGTTAATTGCAATTTGAATTGCTGACCACGTCCTCGCCGGCGAAGGCAAACATCGTGAGGAAACCTGCATGTTTGAGAAATAAGAAAAAAAGTATTTCGAAAACATGTAAAGTTCGCCAACACGCATTAGGGCAGCGCGGCGGACACATCCTTGCCCTAATACCCTCTCAGAAATGAGGAGGCATGTGCCCAGCAGTGGAACGTATATAGGCTGTAATTTTAACTTTTAACACTTCTTTATCTGTATTTAGCTTTTTTCTGACCTTTCATACCCACCTTTGTATATACGTATTCCTAACTGTTGAAACGGAAAAACCTTAATTTTAGAAAGGTAATATGTCTAGGTATAAAGTTAGTTACAGCCTATATCAGCCTATTTTTTTTTCGCCTAGCCCCCATTCGCCAAATTCGTACCATGCGATAGAGCGCCTCAGATGATCCGAGAGGCTGTTCGGGATTAGCCCGTTTGCAAAGACGACTACAGGAATAATTTCGGTCGGCAGACCACCTCGCATGTTGGTCACCTCGTGAGCCAGGTCCAGATACTTTGGTTTTTTATTTGCTTCGGTGTTCACGAGGTTCTCGTAATACGAAATGGTAATGTCGACCAATAATAATAATATCCTTGACTGTACCCGGTCCATATATTTAGAATCTGAATTATTCTGTAACAACTTAAATGTACCATATTCTAACAAATAAATCATCTTATCTTATCTTATTATCAGCACAATATCAGGCTTTATTCGCAAGAATAGTCATGTCTGTGATGATGGCCCGGTCCCAGTAAAACCTGGCGTAGTTATTTTATTATTTAAATTTTTTAAAATTATATAATATATTTTGAAAATGTATGGACTACTGAAATGTTGGTGCGAGATGACCCACGAGACATATACGGACATCGAAAAGATTGTAGGCATTAGTTCGGGGAGCATTCATACATAGGCTGCACTAAAATTATCGGGAATGGAATATTTCCACTGTTCCTGTCATATTAAAATCTTTTTAATTGAAAAGTCCTTGGTTTTTTAAAATTGAAAGGAAAGGGCTCTTTTGAAACAAACAGAAAAAGAATAGGTACGTAAGAAAAGATGGTCCGTTAGTGCCAGAAAAATCAATTCAACTTAATCCATGTAAGGGTAAGAAATATGGGAACAATTGTGAAAAGATAACCGAAGAAAAGAGGCAACAAGTATTTAAACATTTTTAGACGCTTACCCCTAAACGCCGTAGAGACTGGTTGGTTGGCATGACTGACAAAGAAAACGTTAAACGTAAACGTAGTAGTTCAGAATCGCGCAGGTACACATATAAGTATTGCATTACTGGTGGTGAAGGAAAAAGATCTGTATTCTTACAGTTTTTGGCAGCAACATTAGATATTTCATAAAAGTGTATATATTACACGGTAAAAAATGCTTTTACGGGAAGTGCTAAAGACGACTTGCGAGGAAAATGTGAACCACCCAACAAAACCAAACCTAGTACTAAAGAGTCAATTTCCTGCGTGTGCGAAACCACCGAAGTTGTATGGGTTACCAAAAATACACAAACCGAACGCTCCATTACGTCCATTAGTGAGCCATATCGATTCGCCAACTTACAAATTGGCTCAACACCTAGCAAAAGTACTATCACCACTCAGAGGACACACAAGAGCACACACGAAGGATTCATACCATTTTGTACTGACAAAAGACCTATGTCTTACTGATAATGAAATACTCGTACCATCCTACACAACATCTTGGAGTGAGGAAGCTTTGTTGTCAATGGATCCCTCGTTTGCTCTCCGAAAGCGAAAAACAGACTCGCGTGGATTGGTGCCATGAAATGCGTCTACATTTTGAAAACGAGGCATCTAGGCGTGTTTTAGAAATCGTTACTGGTGACGAGACATGGATCTATCAATATGATCCGGAAAATAAAGGGCAATCATCGGTATGGGTCTACTCAGAAGGACAGTTACCGACAAAACTGCAAAGACCTCGCAACGTCGGCAAAAAAATGGTGGCTAGTTTTTTTTCGCGGAGCGGATATTTGTCGACGTCAATGCTGGAAAATTGTTGGTCAGTCAACTCTGAATGGTAGACTATAGTTGCATTACCCAAAGCTTTTCAAGCTGTGCGGGAGAGAAGACCAAAGATCGGGCTTCGGGGAATCATGCTGCTTCACGATAATGCCTCTTCACATAACTCCCTTAGATTTTTGTTCATTTATTGAGGAATCTGGTGTTGAAATTCTAAGTCACCCACCCTACAGCCCTGACTTTGCTCCTTGTGATTTCTTTTTGTTCCCAAGAGTCAAAGAAAAACTAAAAGGCAAGTTTTTTTCAAGCGCCGAAGAAGCCGTGGTTGCCTTACGAATAAGCGATTTCCGACCTGTCAGATCAAGACTGGCAAAAGTGTTTTCAGAGTTGGTTTAGGCGAATGGAATTTTGTATAGAGCATGATGGAGAATATTTTGAAAAGATTATAATAAGTATTAAAATAAGTAATATTAATAGTACTTATCTAGAATACTTTTTGTATATCTTTAAAGTTTTTGAGTATCCTACGTACCTACTCCTTCCTGCCATGGGAGAGATCCATATCCAGCTGTGGACTGGTCATGGGGTAAAGGGGAGAAAGTGGATGATAAAATCTTATAAAAATATTACCTTCATTCGGAGCAGGTGAATGACCGCCTGATTTGTCATCAGCACGAAGTGTTGACGATCCATCTGATTGATCCTGTTCAAGTTTAAAATAATATTTCATTGAATAATCTACATTTATGACGTTTTAACAATATCACATGAAAAAGAACGCGCATAATTTTAATAAAATTTTGTACAGCCGACTTCAATATAAGTTATTTAAGAATAACTCAAAAATTATTGGTGTGACCTTGATCAAATTCATATGGGACCACACGAGAACTATCAGCTTTCATATAAAAAAGAATCATCTAAATCGGTTCACCCAGTACAAAGTTATGAGGTAACACACATAAAAATAAAAATAAACATACCCGTCGAATTGAGTACCGTCTCCTTTTTGGAAGTCGGCAGAAAATCTACAAAATCGCTCTAGAACGGCGTAACACCACAGAATAAATAAGTAACACTGACGCACACTACAATGTTCTCCCGCATGAGCGCTAAGCCACGAACACGAATTATTTTAATACTATATATTTAATAGTATACTATTGTGTATTTTTCATTGTTAAAAAACAAAGGCGAAGTTTTATTCAGTCTTATATTTAAATTAGAGATTGACATTGTCCGACGTTGAATGGGGTCAATTATGTGTGAGGCATAAGACAAAGGAGATGAAGTTGCTGACAATAACATGTTTCATTTTCCTCTTGTCTTTCACTTTCCTCGCCTATTGCGACACCAACGAGATGAAATGGGGGTAGTGAATCCTCTTATGTCGTCACATATGTTTCAATTATCTAGATGTAAAATACCCACGGCAAATCCTACATACAATAGGAGCGACCTACCGCCTATGAACAGCTGTGGACGTTTTACAGGCCTGGGATAGGAGAAAATGACAAACGTCTCATCCCATGAAGCAGGATTTGATGAGGTATGCTGGGAAACGATGGATGCAGGATGGAACACAGGCCTTCGGCGGACTAGAGACGAGTAGTCATCACCTCCAGTCCGTCGTTTTCCCCGATACAGAACTGTTTGTCATTTTTTCCAGGTTGAAATCTGCGCACACAAAAACAATCGCCACTCACTACGTAACTCACACAACAATTAAAATATCAAATTAACAATTTCACACACTCACACACACACACACACACACACACACACACACACACACACACACACCACGCAAGCACGCACGCACGCGCACACACACACACACAAATACATTAATAACAGTATTGTTCAACCGATGTGCATGTTATTGTATGACAGCGAGCGGCCTATGTTGGTAAACAAATCCGAAACAACACGACCGTTATTATTGTAATTTTCAACTTTAAAAAGAAGTGAATAGCAATAATGTGTTTCAAAATTACTTTTATATGAATAGTAACGCCATCTTTTTGTAGATTTGACGCGGCAGATCTCTTTTTGCAGAAAAGAACTGAACAATGCCGCACTTTTGTACGACATCGATTCAACGGCGCAACGAGATTTAGTCCAGTGAGCAGTGCGGCTGCAGCTAGTTTTATTGTACGAATAGAGGGAAACTTCTCTCTCTCTCTCTCCCCTCCAATCTGCCGGTTACCCGTGTGGCTCTGTGGATGCAGGTGACTACATGGTCGTTCTTAATTATAGTCCAGCGTTGGATATAATTTGGGCTGCAATAGCGACGAGATAAAACGTTCTGTATAGTTACCTCCTTTATGTAAACTCATCACACGTATATACTGTAACAAACTATTCCACTCCTGATGTTAGAAATTATCCTCAAAAATATTTAAATAAAAGAATGCTACTCGGTAACAAACCCTGCTTACTATCAGGACCCAATTACATGATAACACCAAAGTATGCAAACCAACAGCATCACTACCCATCTCAATATACACAGGGCAGCCTCTCAGCAACATGACCTTCCTTGCCCATACTAGCAGAACACCCCAACGGGCATAGTAACGACCTTACTTTTTTCGTATTTCCTTTTATTTTTTTACCCTCATTACCCAACAATACATATATAAGTACAAAGAAATAAAATTGAAGTGTCTGTTTGTAATGTTAAAATAACAGCTTTTTACCAAATGCCAATGAAAGTAAGTATATACGGTGCAAACACAATTTTTAGTTTTTTTGTCTGTTTGTTCCGGCTTATTTTCAAAACGACTGGACCGATTTTGACGGGACTTTCACTGGCAGGAGTAACTTAGGATAATTTTATTTTAGGAAAATAATTAGGGTTCCCCGCAAAAATGAAATCCAAATAGGTACCACGCGGGCGAAATCGCAGGGAACAGCTAGACTTAAATAAATTACTAGAATATATGTCGCACGTGCACTTTTTACGACAGTATATAGAAATAGAGGCATATAAAAAGATATTATTCAGGCCGAAACTTCCATTATCATTTAAACTGCCATATTATTTTGAATTCTTTTGTCCGTTTTCCACAATTTAACAAAGAAACTCGCTGTTGTCGAGTGAACGACCCATGGAAACATTAAATATAGAAAATGGTTTGCGGGTATTTGAATAATATGTTATTTGAATGCCATGTTCACGAATATTACAAAGTCATATCTAACATATTCTTATTTATTCAGTATCAAGTGGTTGAGTGGTTTTAACAGCAAACAATAAGGCAAAATAAGTAACGTCGTGTGTAGGCAAAACTGTATATAATTTGTTACCATGTTTAGTACCTACTGATTTATTGACGCAGTCCCTTAAAAAACTTTAAAATTGTATTTTTGTTATTAGTACCGTTCATACTTTCGTATGCATTTAGTAAAAACCTGTAATTTTGACATTATATGTCAAAATTACAGCTTTTTAGAGCAGACACTTCAATTGTATTTATTTGTATAGATTCTTATGTTAGTACTAGCTGTTCACCGCGAGTTCGCCCGCGTGTTATTTGGGGTTTTAATTTTTTTGTGCGGAAACTTAATTATTTTTCTAAAATAAAAAAGTAGCGTAAGGTACTCCTTGTGATATAAGTTATTTGCCAGTGAAAGTCCCGACAAAATCAGTCCAGCCATTTCCGAGGTTAGCCGGAACAAACAGACAGACAGATAAACAGACATTTTTTTTTAAAATTGTGTCTGTTATAAGTACCGTATTTACCATTACTTTCATAGGCATTTAGTAAAATGCAGATATTTTAACATTACAAACAGACACTTCAATTTTATTTATTTGTATAGATTATTTCGCCTTTGTATTACGTACTCTAACCTTATTATATATCGAAACGAACCTTTGTTCACTTGCGCTTTTAAACAATTATGGAAAAGTAATTGATAGAAAGCAGCGCCAAAACGTCACAATAGAAATAAGTGCTGTTATGAATAAGGAGAACAATATATTATTATACCTTGAGTTAATCTAATTAACTTGTCACATTCATGTCCATGCAATAATTAAAGCGGAATTATTGCATGGGCATGAATGTTTTATTCTATAAAACAAGTTTTTTTATAAAATACTAGCTGTCCCCCGCGACTTCGCCCGCGTAGATTTTACTACGATTTCAAGGGTTTTAATTTTTTTGCGCGGAACCCTGATTCTTTTTTCTAAAATAAAAGTGTCCTAAGTTACTCCTTATAACATCAGCTATCTGCCAGTGAAAGTACCGTCAAAATCGGTCCAGCCGTTTCGGAGATTAGCCGGAACAAACAGACAGATAAAGATGTTAAAAATTGTTTTTTTGTTATTAGTACCGTATATATTTTCATATGAATTTAGTAAAAAGCTGTAATTTTGACATTACAAACACACACTTCAATTTTATTTATTTGTATAGATTTAACCAACTTCAGTAAAATAACGCGCGAGTATATTAATTCTCTTTCATAATCATCATCGTTATAGCCATTCACAGGTCCACTGCTGAACGTAGGTCTCCAGCAAGGAATAACATAAAGCATGGCCACCTGCATCCATCAACTTTTTGCATATTTTACCAGTCCATAACTCCAACTCCGGGGGGGCTGCCCAATACTTCTTTTATTTTTATCTCATCTTATTTTTAAAAAAACGTTACCCTCACACTAGGATTTTCTCCTGTATCGTGGAGGCAGTTTACAAACATAGATTGCACGAGGACAAACATCCAGAACCGGTACAATTATTTGTAGGCCATACAAATACTTGTTCCGTGCGGGATTCGAACCCGCGGCCCCCAGCGCAACAACTCATTGCTAAGCAACTGCACCACGGAGCCGTCAAAATCTCTGACCTCTACGAGGCAGCCAATCGAGAACTTTTCATCCCTGTCGGTTGTCAGTTCTTCGTGCTATGTAGCCGGCACCTTCTGCTTACTGATATGTGGACTATGTCGATTACTCTTGCTCTACCTCGGATTTGTTCATTTCGAAATCTTTCACGCGGAGAAATTCCCAGCATACTAGCTGTCTGGATACATCACTGGGCGACCTTGAGCATCCTCATTAATTCTCTTTAGTAACGTCGAAATCTACAACCAATTCGAACAGTCTACAAAGAATATGGGGTCATCTTTTCGGCTACAGTAGTCCATTCATTGGACATTCTTTATATTACTCCAATTGTATTTGTACTTATCGACGACTGCCATTATATTGAGAGTTTGATTCAAGTTAAGAGACAGAATACTTAATAGTACGGTAAAGTAGGTTTATTTTTGTTTATTTTTTTATAAGATAAGGGTGAAAAACGAGCACACAGTCCACCTGATGGTAAGTGGCTGCTGTGGCCCATAGACATCTACATCTATCTTCGATTACAAAATGCACATGCGTCGCCATCCGTGAGGACCAAGATAGAATACCTCCTCTCAAGTAAAAAGGGTCTCCGGGTCTCTACACTCACCATACGAAACAGAGCAGCATTAAGCTGCTATTTTACGCTGGTTTTCTGTGAGCTTAAACTTCTCTTCAACTTTTATTGGAGAGTCCATCCACCCCTGTTCATTTCGTGGTTGTCCATGGACCATGGATTCCATAATAATTTATACTGGATAAGTTTAATATAGTATTATCTGTCTCATTGAGCTAGTGGTTGTAAACGCGATTACTGATTCATTACCAGTAATCGAGTCC